ACTTTTAAGAATCATAATTTGGTTGGTTTTGTTATTATTTAACTGTTTCATAGATTTGAATCATTACTTCACGAATAAAAGTACCAATATTGTTACGACTAATCAGAGCAGTGCATATACCTGAGTGGTTCTAGGCGCCATTTTGATTTTTGACGGTACGTTTAGGGAACCCAGGACATAACTGTTTGAGTATTCAGTGGAGCATTGTGGGGATGAGAGTTTAAACCGAGTTGGGTCTAGTAGTGATAAAAAGTTATAACTAAAGCTAAAGTGTTATTTGTAGCGTTAAAAGGAATCAATCTTATTTAAATGTTGTACGATTATTTGTGTCTTCTGTACTTTACCCACATGACGCCCACTAAACCCGCTAATGACGAAGCCAATATCGATGAAGTGACGAAATGTCTCCGACATATATAAATTATAACAGGCTGCAATAGTTTACGGTAATTTTATTATATTAATACACTTGTCTAAGTCAGACAGAGAATTGCATACGCAAATATTATCTTTCCTATGTATAACGTATAAATGTAACGACTCCCCGAAACGTACAACCACAGTATGCTTACCATATTATCTTAGCAAATATGAAGTTCGGAGCAGTTAACGTGTCATGAACTTATATGTGCATAGTACGAGATTCTGAAAACACGTTAATACATTTCTTAATAAATTTAATACATATTAAAGAAAAGCTGTGTGAAAAGGCTTACTATAAAGTTAATGATTATCAAGTTGAAAAAGGGCCAGGGACTAGTGCTAGACAGGCTACTTCTAATTAATTTGCGATATTTGTTTTAAAATAAGTGTTGTTTGATGATTTGCTATTTTAAAAGAGTCAGATCACGTTTGAACAGGGGTTTGAAAGATAGATAGTAGCCGATTCTCAGACTTACTGAATATGCATTAAAATTACATAAGAATCCGTCGTTTTAGAGGAATATGGGAACGAACATTGTGACACGAGAATTTTATATATTAGATATAGTATTCTTGTATACAAGCTTCATTTTATGGGACAGGAATCAAACGGGTCACGTTTACTGTGTTCATACACCTGTAACACCACGTATGGAAGTGTATTGCCGGCCTTTAAATCTGTTTATGACAGAATCACATCGTGATTTTTTTTATTGAATAATAGCTTGCCAACGCTCGGCACACTGATACATTGGTACAAGAATATACAATTTTTAATGTGACAAGCAGTTAAAGGGCATACATGTAGATATCATACAAATATTAAACAAAACAAACATTTAAAAAATTAAAAATACAATAAACTAAACAAAAATCGATTTTATAGAGTGAGGGGAGCAACTATGGATATCCAGACCTAGCCCGTTTATCAAAATGCTTAATCTGGACATCAGTGAGCTTTGATCAAAACGCGTTCTACGGAAAGGAGGGACATATTGAAATGGTGGTGATAATTCAAATAATCAATACGGTTTAAAACAAAGCCTCCGACAAAATGAAGTCTCGAAGTCTCAGAGCACAAAGTTGATTTAAACTAATTAATTACACAAATATAAATTTAATGTCTGTCCGAGTGTTTCATTACGTGAAATTTATTACTCGCCCATTCAGATAAACTGTTTCACTTGAAAATTTCTTGAAACCCCTTCTAATTTGTTACAAAGCGTTTAATTCGTAAAGTTTTAATCCAAAACGAATTGCCGTCAAAATTACTTAAAGCAATATATTTCTTGGATGCAAATTGAATACTTCACTGCCAGTACTGCCCCCTGCTGGGTCTTAATTAAACAGGAAGAAACCCAAACTAACAAAATGATGTCTTGTATTTGGAGCCTCCAGGTGCGATCTCGAGAAAAAATCGATTTAAAGGTAACAACCGAGCATTTACCCGAAATATTAAGAAACTTCAGATCGCATCTGGAAGATTTCTGCAGTAAGGATGTGTCACTCACTGCAACAAGAGTGTAGCGGAGGTGAGACGGGCCCACACTAGCCCATGAATGTAAAATAGAATATAGTAATATATATTTGTGTATATGGATATATTAGGAAATTTCTTAATGTATATATATGTTTGTACAAAATAAGGTCCCGCGCCACAAGAGTCGGGGATATTGGAAAATTTATATATAATAAAAAAATATAAAAAAAACTAACAAAATGAAACTGCACTATTCAGATTTAGACTGTTACAAAAAGCCAGACCTATCTTCACCATCTCCTTACATAGTCTAATCATTGATTCGTAGATAAATTAAAATTAAAAGTTTTTTTAAATTAAATTACAAAAAAAAACAATGGCGTTACAAGCTTTTTAGGAGTGGGCCACAGAGTTCTGTATCTGTTTCATGATTTGTCAATCTAATAGGCAAGTAGGTGATCAGCCTCCAGTGCCTGACACATGCCGTCGACTTTTTGGGTCTAAGACATGTCGGTTTCCTCACGATGTTTTCCTTCACCGTTCAAGCGAATGTTAAATGCGCACATAGAAAGTCCACTGGTGCACAGCCGGGGATCGAACCTACGACCTCAGGGATGAGAGTCGCACGCTGAAGCCACTGGGCCAACACTGCTCTCTCTCTCTCAAAATTAAAAAAAAAAAAACAAATCTTAATCCTACTACATATATAAGAAACAGCTCAAATACGGTCTTTCCTCCCAACTTTGATTTTGTTCCCTTTGGAGAATAGACTCTTGGGCCGTGGGGTTCAAGTGCCCAGCCGTTAGTTGAAAATTTAAGTTGGGGCCTGGTATATAGTACCGGTGACCCTAGAGCTTATGCTTTCCTCGCTCAACGAATAAGTATCCTCCATCCCGTTTGCCTTCTGTTTTTATACGAGCTTTCATTGAATTATTACTATCATTGTTTGACGGCTCATTGGTCTAGTGGTTAGTACCCCTGACTGCGAATCCATGGGTCCCGGGTTCGATCCCCGGCTGAGACAAACATCGATGTGATGTGCATTCGGTGTTGTGCTTAGGTCTTGGGTGTTTAAATATGTATTTATATGTCTATCTATAATATGTATGTATATCCGTTGCCTAGTACCCATAACACAAGCTTCACCAGCTTAGGGACTAGGTCAATTGGTGTGAATTGTCTAATAAAAAAAAAATAAAAAAAAATTGTAATGTCACTTTTCAGATAGCACATTGCGCGCGTTTCTATGAATTGAAATAATGGTTTTGACAATCCGACACTCGGCACAAACAGCCCATTTGCATTCCTCCAGGGGTGTGATTCTGGTGTGCGCGACAAGACGCAATATCGATAATTTAGATATGATATTCTGCTTGTTATCGAGGACTTTGAAAATGAAATATTGTTACATACAAGGTATGTCTAGAATCCATTATTAGATATATAGGTTATTGTCATCTTTATTTACCAAGAAAATGATTTATTTATCTGTGAAAATAAATACTTCGTTGCAAGAACAATTACGATAATTAAATAATAAAGGTGAGGGCCGCCTTAACGGAAAACAAATTAAAGGAAGTAGTTAGCAGGAAGTGCAAAACTATATAAGATATACAATCACTAAGACAAAGAATTGAACAAATCAATTAAAACATTTAGACGAAAAAGGGCACATTTAGTTTGTACAATAAGAATACCAAACGTATTTTCAACATTCAGTGGTTAAAAGTAATTCAAAAATCAAAGAACAGTGTTTTTACTTTTTTATTAATAAATAATAATATTAATACATTATCAAAAACATAGGAACGAGATATTTGTTCGCAGAATATGTGTTCGTACAGTGGAAGTGGACTGCTATAGTATATTTATACTTGTATTTGGTCTAACGTTTACGTAAAACGTATATTATATTTTTTAAACTATTACAATTTTCAAAGCAGTGTATTTGACTCTACACACACAAGAAGAAGAGACTAAGTACGAGCCCATAGACACAGTGCAGAGAAGTCACCATAGATTAAAAAACTGTTCATAAATAATTGAATGTTGTCTTATTTTAACAATATAAACTCAAAAAAATTATATAATTTAACAGAATCACGTGGAATACAATATCACGCATCACAGAATCGCACCCCAGTATTCAATTCGCCGATCATCGTTCCCGGCTCTGGCATTCGTTCAAGTGTCAAGCAACGCCATTTTGTGTTTTCAGTGTCTGGAAGACGCGTGGTTGTATTTTAAAGTATTCAATTGAAAGATTTGCTGTTTGGTTTTATAATTTAATTATTTATAATTCAGTGTAAACATATATTTCTGACTCCCGTTACTTTGACTCAGTCGACGCGTCGAGTTTATGTCAGCTGTTTTGACAAGTGAACATTTACAAGGTCAAAACTTTTATTTAATTAAAATATTTTTATAAATACGATCATTAATATTTTTATATACACGTAAGTGGGGAAGAGGTGTTTTAATGTGTTTTTTAATATTGAAATTATTATATATTATTACTAGCTGACCCGGCAAAAGTTGTTTTGTCATTATATTATTTCTAGGAAACATTTTTTTTTGTTCAATAAAAATAACTATCTACAATAATAAAAAATAGGGGTTGATGGTAGAGGGGGAGTTTTGTATGTATTTTTGTATGCTGTATCATAAATAATTAAAACAAAAAATTGTAAAAAAATTTTTTTGGGGTTATCACTTAGATGTTTGAAAGATAGATAGTAGCCGATTCTCAGACTTACTGAATATGCATGTATAAAGAATTTTATAAGAATCAGTCGAGCCGTTCCGGAGAAGTATGGGAACGAACATTGTAACACGAGAATTATCTCAGTAAAAATAAACTAAGTCTCAAACATCAAGACTTGAATATTATTAATTTGTCATTTGTCATATGTGCTAACTGTAAAATTTATAATTAAAATAATAATAATAAATTTTAAAGTTAGTGGTAACGTCCTTTTTAATTTCAGCCAAATATAAAACCTCAAAAATATAACCTGGCCGGCAATCATTCAACGTCAGATCAAAAAACTGAATGACGTCCGTACATTTTACAAATAAATAAATAAATCAATTAAAAATGGATATACACGAAAGCCAACTAAAAGAGGACTGGAGGAAATTAATAACGAATTTACAAAAGTTTCTACCAAAGAAAAAAGACATATTCGTTTTAAAGCCACGGGTTACGATGACAAGATTGAGTGACGTCCACAGTGAGGCCAAGAATGTCTTCCCACAGTGCTTTGCCGGTACCAAACTCGTAATATACAAGGATGTTATGAACAAAGTGAAACTTGTCCAGAATTACTCCTTTGGGAAATCAAAGGCTTCGCACTCCTGCTACTCCCGACTGATACACAAAGAAATGGAAACTAAAACCTCCGAAGAGGGTCTGGTCGTCGATTTGGCAGGATCAGCGACCGCCACCTACCGGGAAACGCTGGAGGACAACCTGGAAATACGAATGACGACCAAGATTCGCGACTTGGTGTCGTCAGAGGTGGAAGCAGTGCTCGAAAAGGAAACAGATCGGTTCATTGGATCAGTTTCGTTCAATATGAAGGACGTCGATGTGAACACGTCGAAGTATGTGATACAATGCATGTATAAAGCCTTGCCGGGCTTAAGTTTTGGCAGTGAGTTTGGTCATAAGCCACTTTCGTTGGATCAGCCATGGCTCTCGTTCAGCTTAAGGTACGATAAGCCATCTTTTACAGTATCTTCAACATACAGCATGGTCGGATTCCAGACATGTTTTTACAAACAATTTGCGCAGAAGCTCCGAATAGCAACCATTGTTAATAAAAATCACGGAGGTCAAACAACTCTGAGCGTTGCGCTGAATAAGATTTGTGAGAACGGTACGGAGCTGAAGATGTTTGTGAACTCACAGCTGTACAGTGGTTTTACCGTTGAGAAGGATGTGTTTTTCCAAGACGTAGATACGGAGACGCGGGTGGTTCGACTCCTGGCCAGTACACTGATTGACGGACGGAATCGGGTCCGTTTTGGATTTGGGATTCATCTGGACTTTTAATACATTTGAAATTGCTTGTTAGTTTTTTGTAGCATTATTTGTTTGTATATAAGTATACATAGGTTTTAATAAACGTTTTGATTCAGTGATGTTTAAAAGAAATTTGTTATTATAACCTATACCTTTTTTTTAATGTAACAGGAGGCTCTCAAGTGTGTTGCCGGTCTTTTAAGAAATGGTACGCTCGTTTTTGAAGGACTCTTTTCTTTTATGTAAAAGGAGGTACAGGGCCAGGAAGCTCCCAAGTGTGTTGCCGGCCTATTAAGAAATGGTACGCTCTTTTGTTGAAGGACTCTTTTCTTTTTTTTATGTAACAGGTGGTAAAGGGGCAGGAGGCTCCCAAGTGTGTTGCCGGCCTTTTAAGAAATGGTATGCTCTATTCTTGAAGGACTCTTCTTTTTTTTTAAGTCGAATTGGTTCGGAAATACTTCAGTAATTCACTTATTTTTTTTAATTGTGCTCCAGCGAAGTATTAAGCAAATTACAGAACGCAATTCTTGGTAAATAAGATTAAAACTTTCCGAATGTTATGAAAAAGAAATAGGATATATTTCAAATAAACTTTGTACAATTTGCGGCTCAGATAATACACGAGACAGCTCGTTATCTCAACAAAATAAAATCTCAAACTTTAAGTTTACGAGTTCTATTTATTTTCATTCCAAGAAAAACATGGGGGCGTTTGAAAGGGAGCTAGGTACGTACCTACTATAAAGTTTTGTTTGTACTATTTCCTACTGATGTCTAATTATTTGAACACTGTGGTTTTTACCCTTTCTATGAGTGTCTATGGGCGGCGGTATCACTTAACATCAGGTTAGCCCCCAGTTACCTAAAAATAATTACTATAATAAAAAAAATATTATTAAAAATCGTATACAAATATGCAGTCTACGCGTAAAACATTTGTTCACTACGCGTCTTAAGTTGTTGTGTTTAATCATAAATGGGGCATGAGACTTTAATTTTTTAAACCTAATTAGGTACTTATGTAATGTTTGTTTTTCCTTATGTCTGAGTTTACTTGATAGACGAAGTAGTTAGTAAAAATTTAAAAGGTCCCATGCCCCATTTGTGATTAATTCATAAATTAAGACAAGTAGTGAATGAATATTTTACGCAAATTGTTTATAAGATTTTGAATTCATGATTTTTTAATGTAGTAATTTCTTAGGGGGCGTCAATAAATTACGTGAGGTGTTTTTTTAAATTTTCTGTACCTCCCTCCCCCTCTGGTGAGATGTCGTGAGATTTTATTCAACCCCCTCCCCCATACCCCAATCTCACGTGAGATTTTTCAAAATGTGGGTTTCTTACGTAAACGCGTTGGATTGTTATTGTAAAAGAAAAAAAAATTGGCTTCGTGCTTTTATTTACGACTAAAACAAAAAAAAGTGAAATTTTGAGCGTTTAGGTATGGAGTTAGCGGGAATTTGCAGAGATGGCCGGGTCAACCGTTTTCCTAAGTTTTTTTTTTCAATCAGAAAAAAAATTGCGTGATATTTGCCGAGACCCCCCCTCTCTCCAACGTAAGATTAAATGAGATTTGACTCGAACCCCTCCCCCCCTTAAACACCTCACGTAATTTATGGACGCCCCCTTAAGGTTGTTACCTAAAGAGGCTCGCAAGTGGGTTGCCGGCCGTTCATGTTATATGTCTAGTAAAAGCGAATTTAGCATGAACTTGCACGTACACGAACCTCTACTTAAAGAAACGGAAATTAGAGGAGATTTCCTTCCGGTTAACACGTACACTTAAGTATGACATAATTTCTGCGTCCATTTATCTTATTTCTTAAGTAGCCGGCCTTTTACTTCGCCTATAATAATAGTGAGAAAAGATTTTTGTTTAACGAAAAATAACTACGGGACCGACCAAAAATTCTTTTATCATTACATATTGGCTATACAGCCAAAACCGTTTACGACGACATTGTTTAGAACAAAATACCAGTTATATTGACCAAAATCAAAGGTCTGAATTCTATTGTATAAGTTTCTTAATAACAAAGTCATCGGCTGTTACGACCAAATATGAGTCGTCCCTTCGATGTCGTTATAACAGATTTTGACTGTATTTATTTCCAAAATATTTAAAAAAGCAAATGTCTTTGAAAAGTCGAGGTATTATTCTATAAATCTGTTTACTATAATTTAGTATACTATAGTTACGGAATGGCAACCACGAGATGGAAAAAGGAAATGAGGAGGAAAGAGCAATAGAAGGGCAGACGATATAAAGAGAATGGGAGGCACAACTTGGACAAGAAAAGCTTACATTACAAGAGAATGGAAGTAGCTGGAAGAGGCGTATTTGTCACAGGACACGCTCATCAATAAAACCGGCACATCTGATGTATTAGATTAAGTTAGGTTATGTAACTAAAACAAAACTTTATATATATATTATACTGGGTGTCTGTAATAAAGGATTAATAATAAATTTACTAAATTTAAGTGGATATAATACAATGTGTTGGAGACAATGTGTAAGTGGTTTAAAAAGTATAAAAATTAGGAAAGACATAACTTTAATTTGAATAAAGCAAATATAAAAATGTTTGTAAAATAACTTTAATACACACACATTCGACGACTCATTGGTCTAGTGGTTAGTACCCCTGACTGCGAATCCATGGGTCTCGGGTTCGATCCCCGGCTGAGACGAACATCGATGTGATGAGCATTTGGTGTTGTGCTTAGGTCTTGGGTGTTTAAATATGTATTTATATGTCTATCTATCTATAATATGTATGTATATCCGTTGCCTAGTACCCATAACACAAGCTTCACCAGCTTAGCATGGGATTAGGTCAATTGGTGTGAATTGTCTTTAAAAAAAAAAAAAAAATACACTTCGCGGCAAAGTCGCAGGATTTAATTTATGCACAAATCCTTTTAGGTAATTTTTTTCCCTACTTATGAATTACAATCTAGCCTATATAATAATTATGGCTAATAAGTAATATTATGTTGACTTCATTTTCTACAATACTATGGTGAATAGCTTAAACTAATGTAATGTTCATTAACAGTCAATAATGTTTTGACACTACACTAGTTTTAGTAACTCAAAAGGTTTAGTTCTCTTTAGGTGATTATTAATTTAATAAAGTTCTCTCTTCTTTTATAAAGATCGCGGTAAAAGATCGAAGGACATCGCGAAGAAACCACCCAAAAACCAACAGCACGTCAGGTACAGAGACTGATACATCGATCAGTCTTCTGTGCCTGACACACGCGAAAAGAAAGAGATACACAAATCCCACCAAAGTATCACGCCCTGGTGTTTAATTCATTTGTCCTATCTGAAAATTATGTTTCATAACATCTGTACAATTTGCATTTTAAAAACGCCGACACGAATTTTCCCATAAAATTTTCATATATATGGCCCTCAAAGGCTGTTTTACGAGACACAGGCTCATACAGGCTGAGCTGCATTGAGCTTACGCCGGTATACCACAAAATCCTATAAGCTTTGTTAGACTTTTGAAAGTTAAAAAGAGGCTTTGCGCATCACTACTATGATACTAGGTTTAAGAAAAGTTTTTATTGTTCTAAATATTTATTTTATATATTTACACGTTACACTTAAAGAAAAACAAATAACATACATAAAAATTTTAAAGGATGCAAAGAGCGACCTTATCTCTAACAAGCGATCTTGCCATAGCGGTTGCCTGTAAGAGATCGCAATCAATCGAGATCGTAAGGAAAAAACTAAAAAAAAAAGTGCGTGCGTACAAAGTGAAGAAGCGAAACTTCTTCGTGAAACTAAATTTTAAATCTTGTTCATATTTATACAAATCTAAAACTTTACATTTCCGTGACTTAGAAGGAGGAAAAAAGATAGATATGTTAGGAATTTAATGAATTTAATTGTCATTAGAACAAATTATAAATTTAATTTTTTTAATTTATTTCTTCGATAATCAAAAACACTTCGATAATATTAAAAATAGAATTTCAATAAGGTAATTCACCCTTCTCACTCTCTTTTAATAGGTCTCAATCGCTTTCTCCATTTTCTTCGACGAAAACGCTGCACATCTTCGTGACGCTAATATTATTATTATTGCGTTTCATCCGTAAAAAAATTACCCTCATGCGCCTAAAGAAGTTTGACTTCAAAAATACCTATTTAATAACTTAGTTTCTAATTAATAAAGGTTCTTCACTGATAAATCACTCTAAAATTCGAAGAAGGATGCCCGTGCGCATGTGCCCTAGCTAGTTGATATTCTATTTCCTACTCCGACTCCAGCACCCCACTTTGGGCGGATGTTCGACGTAAACAGACGGAGTCAAATAAGCAACATGCACATGCGCCTACGTTAAGATCCTTAATATGTTTTACATTAATTTAAGAAAAATATAGAATCGAATATATACATAAATAAAATAAAAAAATTAAAAATATAATAATTCTATATATAAAATATATAATTGAATATATAAAGATAAGCCACGAAAATGGTCAGAGCACTTAGGAACAATACTTATAATGAGCTTCTGAAAGCACTTGATCTTACTGATTTAGGACGTAGGTGATTAAGAGGAAACTTATTGACAAAATCCCTTAAGAACTTTCTCCCAAACCGAGTAGTGGCCGAGTGGATTAAAATTAAAAATTTCGAAAAAAGAATTCATGACATAGTATTTTATATTTTATGCAAAATAATTTATTGAAATCTTGACGAATTGTAAATGAAAATGCCACATGTTTTTATTTTATTTAGAGTATTTACAATATTGTTAACCTACATAGTAATAATAAAAGTAAACATAATAAGAAAACTAAAATAATTTAAAAGTTCCCCCAATGCTGGCATTTCGTCACTGTATTGCGATACTTATTCGTTGAGCGAGGAAAGCACCAGCTCTCTCAACGATACTATTAATTCCGGAAATTCCGCTCAGTCATTCTTTTCAATTGTCCTTATCTTATACGAAATGGAAGTTTACCAGTATCGTTCAAGGCAGTGAACCTGAAAAGT